AAAAAAAAAAAATTAAAAAATACTCATATAGTGAGTGTCATTTTTGGATGGCTTCTCATATCTCGTGTTTCATGTACCTAAGTATATAATATGTTATTGTTAGTTCTCCTTTTTAATTGTATTAATGTATAAAAATAAAATATATATGTAATTTCACTCTCTATCACATGTACTCATTGTGCCTCTTAGGTATAGATAGTATATTTAAAATAAAGCAAAAAAGTTATATACAGGGTGATTCTTTTAAGTGGGTACCTACACTAATTATCTCGAAAAGTATTAACTCTTTTTTAATTTTTTTTTTTTAACTTCTAGGTTTATGTTTTTCTAAAACCGTATGATATTTTAATTTTTTTCACCCTTATATTTATTGGTGAAATCACTATCAACTTTTGATTTTCAAATGGTAACATATAATAAAAATATCATGAATTAATAAAACCATTTTTTATTATAAATTTACGCTTTAATATTTTTATACTTCGTTGGTTGGTTTGCGAGTTACAGCTCCTCAATTATTKGTGTTTGAAGGAGGTCTTATAGTCGGTAAATGTGGCATCTGGCATATTTATAGTATTTCTTCATTTGTAAAGTCCAGGAGCTATAACTGATAAATTCGATAACGTACGACCTAACAGGTATAACAATATTGATAACTGTTGTACTTTGTACCTGATTAGATGAATGTCTTATTATACCTGTAATATGCTAATTTTACCATAAAAGCTACGTTTTAATGACCTTGGCTGTCGTATTGGATCCCCTCCATTGCCTTCATTACAAATATTATGACATCATTACGACGCATATACCTATTATTACCATACAATAATAATAATATTATCAATATTTGGCGATACCTTTATCATTATTTATTATTATTATTCATGACCATGGTTTAATCGACTGTATTTATAACGACCACGATTTAAGATATAAAGGTTTCCCATCGGCATATGATAAGGTGAGAAGCAAATTGAATTCTTCGTGGTGCTGGAAATTACAGTAAGCGCTCCATGTGATAGAAAAGTTAACTACCTAACGCTGCCGGTTGCTTGCTGATGAATTTTAAATTTTCTATTTTCAGTTTTGTGTAATAAATAATAATTACAAAAGAATTATTCTTTTTACTAATTTAATTTTACAATTTTATATTATTTTCCAAACATTTAAGATTTTATTGAAGTCTGCTTTCAAGCTGAACAAGTATAACAGTAATATTATATTATTATAAATTATAATGTAAGTTATATCGATTTTACTATTTTAT